CATTTTGGGGGGGGGGCTCGCAGGGGCCCCCGCTGGGCTCCTCGGGGCAGCATCCACTTTGTCATCGCCCGCAGAGGCCGCCTCCCCTTCCTGCTGCATCGGCTGAGCAGCAGTGACTTCTGGAGGGTCGGGTGAGCATTTCACTGATGGGGATCTCAGGACTGGCAGAGGAGAGAGACCCCAAGCGAAGGAGCGGCCGCAGCTGCTGCTGCTGCAGCTGCTGCCACTGCCGCTGCTGTCTGCTGAGTAACTCTGTGTGCTTTGAGGCTCTGGCACCGCCAGGGCAGATGTGAGCATTCTTTTGGCCAGAGGGCAACGGGTATTCGTACGAACTAGGCTTTAGTACATCTGTCTTTTCAGACTGCCGCTGAAAGTAGAGAGAGACGGCAGCAGCAGGCAGGCAATGACACATACGGCCCAAAGGCGTGCAACAGCGCACAAAGAGAGCACAAGACGAGTGCCACCCGCCTTAAGACCTCGCGTGGTTAACTGCAGAGGCGGCTCGGTCTTTCGTGTTGACCGTGAGGGCGAGGCGCAGGGCAGGCCTGGTCAAGCAGAGGGCACAAGTAGGCGAGTACGGCTGCAGCTGGGGAGCCTTAGAGGCCCCCAGCATCCTGTGAAGCGCCACGCACGTTAGAAACACGAGAGAAGAAACACAAACCGAGAACGGCGCCGGCCTCGAAACCGCCAGGAGCAGCGGCGGAACCTGAATTGGTCTGAGAGTGTCTGAGGCGGCCTGCACCCTATTCGCGGCTACAAAGCCCCAAATTAAAGCATGCAAAGGGTTGAAGAGAGAACTAAGGGGGCCAGAAAGTTCAAAACGAGAAAAAAATAGCCGAGAGTGTAAGCTGGGCGGGCTGTGCAGGGCCCGCGAGCAGGCCAATTTCCGCCGGCAAAGGATGCGGCACGGCGATGTAAAACGGTTAGCGAAAAACAATTCCCCAGTATATTTTCAGTTATTCCGGCTAAGGCCTGAACAGCGCGCAAAACAGCCCAGATACAGCAGCGGACTCTGGCGAATTCGCTGGCTGGCGGGTCGTGTTGTTGGACATGCCGTGCAGACCTCATGCCCGGACTCACTTCAATTTGTCATTATAGCGCAAATTTCAGTGAATTTTCCTCCATCATTTGTTAGAATGCATCATAAAAGGCTGATGAGGCGCCTTGAAGCTTCAGAAAAGCCTCGGATCCCTCCCCGAACAGCGCCTCACCCAGCGATCTACGAAGACAGCAAGCAGAGTAAAAAAACGACAGTTTCGTACCGTCACACCTTTGCCTACTGCGTATGCAGGCTTAAAAGCCACACGTTTTTATGCATTCAAATCCCCCTCCCTCCCTGAAACGCAAAGCGTGAAGCTTGCGGTTAGAAATCTTCACGTAAGATGGCTGACTGCTGCATGGTGTTGCTCGTTATTGCGCCGGCAGCGTTGGAGCGGCAAAGTCGAAGTTTTGAGCTTTACTTAGGTCATAAAATTTTCCGCAGACTATGTTTTCTTCGTCAGTTTTTTAATGGCCAATGAGCATACTTCAGGCGAGCAGGGGCAGCAAGCTGCATGGCTACCCCCTCTCAAGAGAAGCACCACATTTTCCAGTTGAATCGGCAAGAGTACAAACACCAGCCGCACAAACCCTCATCTGGTGAAGCGGAACAGAACGATGAGCGAATGAAATGAGAGAGTGTCGAACTGCTCGCCCCATAGCTAGCTGTGGCTAGCTCTTACCTGCATGGGCCCCTACAGCCCAAAGCCTGCCGGTATCTAACGATATGCATCAGTAGCTATCCATGGGTAATTGCGACAAGCCCGTTGGCAGCTGTAACTCTCCACAGAGAGCTATAGCCAGCTATTGCTGGACGACTTCCTCGGAACGGACACTGCTGCGTGAAGGTGAAGGCCATCGAACAGTGTCGAGGCGGTAGTACGCACTACCCACCACCTCCCTTGGCTCACTACATCTAAGTTAACTTATTGTTAGTGCGCAGTTCTCGCTATTGCTTGACCAGGAGCTTTGATTTGGCCGTGCTGAAAAGGTCTATTAATCTCACGATATGTGCCATGCGGGATCAGACGCGCCTTTCGCTTGTAGCAAGTATGGGCTACGCGCACATCTAGCTGCCCAAACTAGTTCAGCCTGACTTCAGAGCTCCACGGGCGCGCTGTGTGGCTAGAAGTGTCCTCAAAGCTCTGCGTGTTGGTAATTCCGGTTGGGTGGAAGGAGCAGCTGGGTGCGTGGTTAGATGGCAGTTCGTTGGGAAAGGAACGGGCGGGATCTAACCGTGATGAGATGTGGTTGGAATTGTGCAATGTTGCGCAAAGGTCGACGAGACGAATGCTGGCGCTATTTAAGGGCGTTCAGGAAGACTGCTTTCGCTTGTGAAGAGTCAGCGCCCTGCTAGCTTCAGCTTACCGGCAAGCTACAGAAGCCGAAAATGGGGCTGAGGAGCGTAGAGTAGCTTTATTTTATGGGTTCGTGCTGCCCCGACACTTTCTCAGCAGTGTTACGTAGACCCACACAAGCAACGGCTTTGGAGCACTGCAAGCGCTCCTTGAAAGCAAGAGCCGTGTCGCTGCCCCTCTAAAGCAGATATGGGTACGACCAGTTTTGATTATCCTTATTAAAGGTGCCCACAGCAAAGGCTGCCAACGTCAGTGAGCAGGGGCATAGGAGAACCTCTAAATTCCCCTGCGTGACTGCTTCATTCAGGGTGCCACCCTTCCCCTGCGCGTTCTTTGGCCGAACATTCTTGGCCCGAGGTGCTGCTACGCCCTATCAAACTTGTACTAGTGTTTCTTTAGTTGACCTCTTGCTGTGTCTGGGTATCTGGCGGTGTGTTGGACCTTGTAGCGCCTGTTGCTTAAGCCTAGAAACACAATTCATGAATGACCGCTTGAAAGCTTTGATTACTAGTCGTGTGACACACAATCAGCTTAGTTCTTCATATGATCGTTATGCTGTTCTTGCGCTTTGGCTGGGTTTCTTTTGCTTGCCCCTACTCCCTCGCTCTCAAGTTTTCCACCGCTGCCCCACAGTACGCTGTCTGCGTGTTTGACTTTCCGTAATTACGTTTCCACGTCTCTTCTGTTTTTCCGGGCAATTATGCCATTTTGGTTCTCGGCCTTTCTGCCACACGAGAAACGCCGAAGACAGCACTTGCTCTCTGCGCTTTGTTACTTTTGTACCGCGGATCTCACTGTGCTTCTATGTGGCCTAACGAACCGACACACATCAACATCTGAAGCTGCGTCCGCAGCAAGTAACTAGATTATGCTGCTACGTCGGTTCTTTGCCTTCGTTTCTTTGTGGAAATAGCGCCGCTCCTGTTGCTGCATTGTTGCTCTAATTTTCACCGAATGATACCTTATGGTGTACACGCTGGGTTTCGTAGTGTCCGGTGCGCTGCTTTGCACTGCGATATCTAACTTTCGGGTTTAGTCACTTCATGAGCTTCTCACTTTACCTCCAAGGGCACTACCCGCTGCTGGTTGGCGCTTCAGCTTAGAGTGCCCTGGCTGTCGGCAATGGAGGCTATTGTTGCGGAGCCTTGCGTACGGTTGGCCTTTTGTGTATATTGCCTCTTCCTAGGTATATTAAGCACTCTCTCTTGTCTCCTTCCTTTCCTTGTCCTTCTTCCCTCTTCCTGGCAACGCCTACCTCTTCCGGTCCCTGGCACTTTTTTAATTTTGGCTGCATGCGTCTATTGTCTTTGTGCGCCTGTGCTACTCTACCCATGCTGGCCCTTTCTTCTGCAACTCGGTACGTCTGGTCCGTCATCTGCTCTCCCCAACGTGTCCGCCTGCACTAATCTCTTGCGGCTATTCTGGTGGGAACGAGGACAGGGGGCCTCGGGGGCTGTCGTCATTCCTTCCTCCTCACTATGAGAGACAGAGAACATAGTGGCGGCGAGTTAGGGAGACCGCGCATTCCCCTCGGTGTGCTTCGCGTACCTCTACGCATACAAGAGCAATTTATGCTTCTTTGTTTTATTATCCATTTGTCTTCTTCATTCGTCCCCGTTCCCCTCACAAAACAGCGCGCAGTCCAGAGCACTCCCGACCAGTGACGTAAACATGGGTTACAGATTGCTCCGCTGTGGCTCCCCTACAGCTAACTATGACATCCTATGGCTAGCTATGACAAAATGTGGCTAGCTGGCCCTGGCAATAACCTGGTCGGGCCACCAATGAGTGCCCGTCCCTACACATCTGGCCTGCGCTTATGCACGACTCCCCAGCGGCCTCTTGCGCTGCCCTTGTGCACCTGAAGAGGAAAAAGAAGAGGACGGCATTTTATGAAGTGTACTTTCGCTTGAAAGGAGCAGGATTTCGGATGAGACGCTGGAGCTGGTCTTGTGTGAGGCTGGGGCCGTGTGCGCTTGCAGCGCAGTAGCGGGAGCAGCTGGGGGGTTTGTGCGTTTAAACGCGTCATTCATTTGCTCTTGACCAATTTGATACATTTTGAAGTGGAAGATGGCTCCAAACTGGGCTTCATGAGGCGGTGTTGCTGCTGCTGACGCTGTTGCTGCAGCTTCAGCAAGGATCGGGGGGCTGCAGCGGCAGCCGAGTCTGTCCAGCGTGAGGCTGCTCTGAGTTTTGTGTTTACATTTTGGCTCAACTGTTGCCGTTTTTTTCTTTCTTTTCTTTTCTTTTCCCTTCTTCTTCTTTGTTTCCCCATTGAGAGTTCCACAGGGCTGCTCTGTGGCACCCTTATCTCTTTCTGACTTAGGAAGGCTCGGCCCAGCTTGGAAGCTGCGCGCACCCCTAGAGTGCGTCGTTCGTAGACTGGAGGCCTTAAGTTTTGCGTCTCCTGCTTTTAAATGAATCTATTTGTCCTTTTAATTTCTTGCTAACTTTCTCAACTGACCAAGAGCTTGGCAGCAGCCGCTCGAGCAGCAGCAACAGCAGCAGCCGCACCGACTGCAGCACGGGACGCGACTTTCCAGCAGCCCCTTGCACTTCTTCACCTCTCCTTCCTAGCCTGAAGCAGACAGGAGCGGCTGGGCCATGGCAGGAGCCACACGTGGTCGCTGCGGTGCCTCATGGGCAGCAGCAGCAGGAGCACGAACGCCCTCTCTGCTCCTCCTGTTTTTTACAGTGCCCGCTGCCTTTCTGGTGGCCTTTGCAGCATCAGCAGACACCCCAGACGGGTCATCTTTCGGCTCCTCGGGGACCCCCTTTGGGGCCCCTCAGGCCTCTCCTTTGGGCCCCTCCACGGAGTACCCGCAGGATGTCTCTGGGGCCTCTTCCTCGGGCCCTGGGGGCTTTTCTGAGCAGTTTGCGTCCGCGCTATCCTCGCTGGGGCCTCTGTTTGGCCAGTTCTTGTCGTCGGGCGAGTCTGGGGGCGCGTCGAGCGGCGCAGGGGCCCTCGGGGCCTTGTACGACATGGGCCGGCGGGCCGCGGGGGCCCTCTCGGCCTCCATTGCATCCGACGAAGCGCGAGAAGGCATGTGGGTGCCTCTACACGAACAGCTCGGGCTGGCTCGGGATATGCTGGGGCTGCCTGGGGACGACGCGCAGGGGGTCCGCAGCGCCGCGCGGCTGCTGCTGGCTGCCCAGCTGCCCATAGTGCGTTTTGCTGCGGAGCGCGAGGCTTCAGATGACGAAGAGGCAGACAGGAGGGCACTTCGGATCGTCACAGAATATCCAACAACTAAAAAGTGAGTCAGCTGCTCCGCGGGAGCCGCGGGCCACCCAGCTGCCCGCGCCATGTTGTTTGCCCATGGCCTCGCTGCTTTCCTTTTGCATGCGAAGCTTTGCTAGCGGCTCCCATTTCATTTAATTTGCTAATTTTGGTTGCTTTGAATTTCATTGTCCTTTTTTGCTTCGGAGGGGCTGTGGCTAGCATCGCTATTTGTGTCCGCTGCGTGTCCTGGGGGTGGCCATAGCTGTTATTTGTTCTTTCGGTTGATTTTGTGTCTCAGTCTGCTTTTGTCTTCTCTGTATTTCTCTTGTCGCTGGCCCTGAGCTCTGGCTTCGCTGCTCCCCGGCTGCTGCTGCTGCTGCTGCTGCTGCTGTGTTTATGTTTGGTGCGCGGCTTCTGTGGCAGTGTCTGCTGGCTTACCATTGGCCTCTGCCTCTCATTCTGTCAAAGATGCCTACTCTCGCTTCTCTTGTTGCCTGTGGATTCCTTGCTGCTGCTTCACCGCTCCCTGCCTGCTGCTGCCGGTGTCTGCTTCTGCGTCAGTGTAGCTGCGCTGCCGCCAAGGGAGGCGTGGGTGCATCCGAGTTGAAGAAATGCGTTTTTAGTAACTTGAATTTGCGTTTATAACCAAATAAATATCTCGGGAAACACAGAGGAAGCCTCTCGAAAGATAGTTGCAGCAATACTAGCCCCCCAGAGCTGTGGTTGTTGCTGCTGCTGCCTGCTGTGTCCCAGGATGCTTGCGGACTACATGGAGCAGAAGCCCGACAGGAACATCCGGGCGGCGCCGGCGGAGCTGATTCGCCTGCACGAGGAGATGAAAGAGCACTTGAAGGCCTTCAGAGCCGCTGCTGCGAGCAACATTCTCCCGGTGTCTATTCTGGGCGCTTTGGATTCTCTGAGCAACGAGGCGGCGCTGAAGGTCAACGGCTACTTAGCCACTGTCGCTCGCTATCTCACGTACACCGACCGATTCAGCAAGAACAAGCGGGGCCTGGTTTTCTTTGCCAGGCACATGCTGCCGCGGCTGCTGCAGCTCTTCGCGCTGCAGCTCGACGCATGCAGACACTTGTGGCGCTTTCTTTCTTTTGCTTCTCCGCGGGAGACGCTGACGGGGCCCCTGACCTTCAAGCCTTCCGTGTCGCCGTCTGGTGCCGCAGCTGCTGCCGCCGCAGCAGCAGCAGCAGCGGGGGCAGCAGAGGGCGCAGACGAAGACAGCAGCTTTGGCTCGGAGGCGGATCCCTCCGCCGCCGCCGCAGCAGCAGCAGCAGCGCATGCGCCCAGCCTGCCCGTGGCACTCACTGTCCACGACAGCGAGGCCGGGGGGCCCCTGCGGACGCTTGCCCAGAATTTGGGGGTGAATTTGCCCACAGTGCCCCACGCAGACGCGCGGGCCTTCGGGCGGCGGCTGCTGGCGCGCGTGCAGGTCCACATAGGGGCCCTTTACGCGCTGGCTCAGGGCTGTCTTGCTGCCACTGCGCTGTCGTTCCAAAGGGAGTACGCAGAGGCGGAAGACAGGGTGGAGTTGGGGGAGGCGCCTGCTGCTGCCTTCCTCAGCTTGCGGGGCCAGAGCGAATGCGTCGAGAAAAACAGCAGCAAGAAAAGCAAGGGCAAAGAAACTGCGAGAGAAAACGCTGCAGAGGAAAGTGGACGAGAGGGACAGCCGACGGAACCGCAGAAAAAACAGAGCCACAGGCTGAGGGCGCTAACCAGGGGCCGCCCAGCGGGATCGGCAGCAACAGCAGCTGCAGCAGCAGGAAACCCGAATGATGCTGAACGCACCTCTTGAAAGAAGGCAGAGCCTGCAGTCCAGCAATATAGAGACAAAATGTTACCCCGGACGCTCCCCGACCTTCGCATGCTGCAAAAGCAGCAGCAGCTGTAGCAGTGTAGCAGCAGCAGCAGCTTTTGCTGCTGTAGAAGCGGGGCAAGGAATGGCGACGGGGCGGCCGGGCAGAGAAACGCTTTGAATGGAGGAACGGGGAGGGAGAGAGAATAGGAGAGACGAACAAAGAAAAGTATTAAGCTACTTTCAAGTAAGAGGATGCCCACGAACTGGAGTTGGCTGGCTGGTGTTTGTGGCTCCCGCAGCTGCGCCCAGACCGTCAGCACATAATTCTCAGTGGGAAGCCTGTGGCGGTGACTGCACGGGTGTACGTTCTCGCGTTCATTATGCAACGGGAAGCAGCAGCAGCAGCAGCAACAGCAGCAGCAGCAGCAGCAGTTTGAACAACCATGCATGCTCGTGCACGTGCGGCCTCATACGTGTATTTTTGTGTATGGCTTTAGGGATACAAAAGGCTTACGTGATGGACACCGCGCGTAGGCGCTTGAGTTCGTGCACCCACCGTAGAGCTTACAAGCGCACTACACGGATGCATGCATGCAGTACATCTTCATTGTATGCATTACGCATATTTATATGTGTACCTAAGCATGTGTACATATGCGTATGTAATGCATATTCTTGTATTTGTAGGCTTGCATGCATCCACATGGCTGTACGTGTATGATATATATACCTGTACAGGCAATAGTGTAGGCTTGCAAGTATGCGTATGACTCGTCTATCTGCACAAGTGACACATGCAGGCGCTTATCTGGGCAGCAGCAAATGTAGACACCAGCGAACTTCGTGTGCGCCTCTGTGTGCTTGTGCGAGTGTTGGTTTGTGCGCGCGCCTACATCCGCTTTCTCACACAAGCACGTGCTGCTGCCCCAGCTAGCTCCAGGCAGCAGCCTCGCAGCGCGCGCAGCAGCTCTCTGAACACATGCGCTGCTTGCCACCACGGCTGCAAGCCTTACGGCACGCGCCTGTGCTTACATGTGGGGCAGCGCCTGTGCAGCAAAGGCACGGGTGCGGGGCCAGGAGCTGGTATGTACGCAGCTGCATGCACCAGAGCAGTACAGATGCACAAGTACCCGCGCGCGCAGTTCTACAGACACGCTCTCATAGAAAGGCAGATATGCTTCTAAACATCCAGACGTTTGCAAGTGCACGCTCAAGCCCAAGAGCGAGGTAGAGGTCTTCGTAGGTTATGTGGGGCGCAGAAGAGGTCAGAGAGGTCAGAGAGGAGCAGCTCGGTGTTCCTTATGCCAGTGTCTGCGTACATGGGGCTGCATCTGCACGTGAACCTGCTGCAGCGGGGTTCCTCGCAGCAGTGGCGGCTGCTGCTGCTGGGTAGACGGGCCCGAGTGGTACTCACACCCCAGGCCGCACAGGTTCATGTGACTACCTGGCCGTAAGTTTGCTTCTAGTGGCTGTGAACTATATATCGTCTCATTGAATATACGGGGATGCATGCTCTGGTTGCGTGCGGCAGCAGCAGAGCGGCGTGCTGCTGCCGCAGCTTCGGGAGCTGCGGTTGCATTGGCTGCTGCTGCAGAACGGTCAACGCCCTCCTGTTAAAAAGTTTAGAGAGCGTAGCTAGTTTGCTGGCTATTCCTAATTAACGCTCAATGACGAAACCATCGAGCTTACTATGTGGCTAGTTGGCTGGCGGATTGGCTAGCTAGCTAGCTGCCTAGCTGCCGGCTCCTCCCGCCGCCCACAGCTAGCCAGTGGGCTCCGCAGTGCTAGGGAGGAGGTGAATGGGCCGCGTCCATCGAACATTTTATTTAGAGGGCGGGTGGCGGATGCTGCTCATCTACCCACGTCTTGCTGCGCAGTGAACTCCGATCCAGCTGGCCGCTCTGTGGCTAGCCAGCTGGCTGGACTGCTGTGTGGCTAGCAAGCTAGCTAGCTAGCTGTCCACTGACGGCGTGTTGCTCCTCGCTCTATTACAGCCTACAGTGATGTGTGTGAACTTGCCTTCTGGTCTTAGAGATGGGACTTCGGCCATAGCTCCAAACCTTGCTGCAACATCATCTATCCCTGCGCTAGACACTAGCCTATGCTCCTAGGCTTGCATGCCATCAGCGCAGAACTTAGATATGTTGCGGTAGTTCCTCGAAGTACTGGGGCGGCGGCGGAGTCGCCGCCCGCCCTACACCAGCTAGCCCAGTTAGCCAGCTAGCCAGCAGTGCACCCGGCACCCGGCTGGCCTCAGGAACAGTCTTGAGCCACTTCAAGGCCGGCGGGCTGTTCCGACAGTTTCCCAACTAGCCAGCTAGCTCTGATTTGGTGCAAACATGACCTAAAAAACCCAGTTTCCGCAGGGGAACTGAAATAAGCTGAAATGTTTGCACACCTGGCCTGTGTGGTGGACACATCGCTACAGCAGCAGCAATAAAACCCGGTGCAGCAGCATCACTGGCTGCTGAAGCGGCAGCACGCAATGCAGAGGCAACGGCGCAAGCTGCAGCAGCGCTGAGCTCCAAGTTGCACAAAAGCCAGCAGACTTGCGAGCAGTGCAGGGCAGCACGGGTTGCAATGTAGCGGCCGCAGCGGCAATTGTAAGTGTTTCGTGCCTGCTGCTGCAGCATTTGCAGTCGGCAACCGACGCCACTGCAGCGCAAGTTGCATCACAAGCTGCTCTGCTGCGTAAAATGAAGGAGCAGCAGCTCCTTCTGCCGTTGCTGCTGCTGCTGAAGCTGCAGAACTACTCTAGAAAGTCATTCTCTGGCACGTATAGCGCGTCAACATCTGCCTCCATGGCGCAGTGCCGAAGAAGCTCCTCATGAGTTGGCAGAGAAGGCGACATTGCGCAAACAGAGGGCTCCACTGTGGCGCCAGCAGGTGCAGGGCTGGCTGCGGGTTTGCTGCCATCAATCCATTGGTAGTCGTCTCTTTTCCCCCGAAAGGCGAATGACCGGCCTAAGAAGCTCGCGCAGTGCCGGCTGTCGCTGTTGTTCTTGCTGTTGTTGTTGCTGCAGCCAACAGCCGAAAAGCCCAAACGTGACGGAGGCGGTATCAGAGCGAGAAGCACCACTTGCGCGACACCCACGCAGAAGCCTGCACGCACAGCACAACGGAAGAAGCAGCAGCGTCAGCAGCACTGTTGCGAACCAGCGCGTCAATGATTCTAGCCCACCGTTTTACATCGTCATTGAGAGAACCAAAAAGCAGAAGCAGCGAAATAAGCAGGCAGGCGCCCTCTCATGGAAACAGTTACTCTAAACCCTAAACCCTCTGTATCTAAAGAGAGCAACAGAAGGATAAATAAGGCGGCAAGCCGCAGCAAATTACACAAGGCGGTGGGGCCTGGCTCTGCCGCTGCCCCGGAACTGAAGCCTCCTGGGGGACCCAGGCCGAGTCCTGGGTTTGCTGCTGAAGTTGTGCTTTTGGGTTAATTACCTAGTAAATTGGGCACAACAATAAAAATGTCTCGGGCAATCCATCCGTACGCGAGCCACAGAGCCGCGCACAGCAGATTCCCAACTGACATCTCCGCTGGCATTGAGGCGGTGCTTCTCTCCTTAAGCACGACACGGAGGGAGGCCAGTGGCGCAGCGTAGGACAAGACGTTCACGGCAGCTGCAACAGCAGCAGCAACAAAGAACAGGAGAAATCTGTAGGCCGAGCAGACTGCTTTCTTCCCAAGAAAGCTCATGATCATAAGCTGCCAGCTGCGCGGGATGGTCAGAGCTAGGGAAGCTGCACGAGAAGACGGCTCCAGCGAGAAGCGAAATGCATAAGAAGATTAAAATGCAAAGAAATCGGCGAGTGCAGGCGGGCGGGGGCAACCAGCAATGTACATGAAATGCCGGCAAACAGGCAGGTACAAGCAGTCGAAAGGCCGAAGTAGCAGCAAAGAAAACAGCACCAGGACAAGGCCACGGAACATCCACGAAACATAAGCGGTGCTGCAGTGTGACACATGGTCTCGTGCGCAGAAACAGGCAAAAATATGAGCAGGCAGATGAACACTCAGGCAAAGAATGGCACAAATGCTCGAGCCGAAAAGGCTCTCTAAAAAAGAATAGATGGGAAAAAAGGAACCAATATCCCCCCCCCTCGGTCTTGTTCCTCAGCGCCACTTACACGCAGCAAGCCCCACTATAAGCTCTGCAAAGCTGCGCGGGCAGCAAATGCACAGAAGCACTAGAGCTGCAATAATAACAGCAGCAGCCTTCAAATATATCCCCAGCAAAAACCGCTGCTTGTCCCCGCGATTCGTGTTTGCCCAAAACGTCAGCACAAACCACCCCCCTGCGCACACACAGACACCGTTGCAGCCGCTGCGGTTGCTGCTGCCGCTCCTGTTACTGTTAAGATAAGAGCAGCAACAGCGACCCCCAAAACGGGCACTTCAACTGTTCCCGCCGTTGATACGGCGCCCTAAAAGAGCCGAACAAACTCATGCGCAAAAGACAAGAAAACACCCTCAAAAGACTAGGTTCACAAGTCTCACCTGCAATGACACCCGAAACGTTCGGCAGCAAAATGGCCGGGTCCACCCTCAAGACTCCGTAAATGAGCCAAAGGCAGGCTGAAAAGAAAAGGCTGAAGAACGGCAGGCTCTCGAGGCCTAGAGTGCTGTTGCAGGCGGCGATTCTGCAGCAAAAAGATAAGCAAAGATCCACTGAAATTCGAAAAAGTTGAACTGCAGGCTGGCCCCAGTACGGCGAAAAGATGCTCAGCGAGGCTTAACAAGGTATAGAGCTCCACTTAAGCAAAAACCTTGAACCAGAAAACAGTGATATTCCGCAGCCCACTACTGCTGTGTGCAGAGATTGTGTCACAAAACGCAGCAGCATATGCACCGCGAAGCAGTAGCGGCAACAGGCGCCAGAACACCAGCAGCTACGGCAGCAGCAATTAATGACGGATGAGTGCGCAAGCATAGGAAGGAGACTCAGAAGCAGCTGCTGAAACACGTTTTTCAGCTGCCTCTGTTCCTGCAGCATCTAAAGAGGAAGGAAAGGGCGCCCGCAGCTGCGGCAGCAACTGCCGGCAGCAAGCAGCTGCTGCTGTTACCTGGCAATAGTGGGCAGCGGCGTCAGCTGCATCAACATTGCAGCGGTAACAGCAGCAGCACGAATGACAGTTTTGACTTTTTGAGCAACAGAGGCCGGCAGGAGGCTGAGGGGAGCCGGCAACGGCGCTTCAGACTGCTGTGGCGCCTCTCCTTCCTGCTGCTGCTCTCCGCTCTCCTCTGCTGCTGCCGCTGCTGCTGCTGCCGCTGCTGCCGCTGCCAGAGGCTCCGATGCCGCGCTTGACAAGCTGTCCGGCTTAGCAGCAGAAGCATCCGGAGCAGCTGTGCCAGCGCTGCCTTGCAGCAACTCCGTTGATATGGTTCCTGCAGCTGCTGCAGCGGCCGCTGCGGCTGCAGCGGCCTTCTCAGCACTGTCAGCAGCAGTAAGAGCTCCAGCAATGTCTTGCTGCTCTTGCTGTTGCAGCGCTTGGGCCGGCTGTGCGAGTGTTGACGAAGGTCCTGCTGCTGTAGCAAGCATTGCTGCTGCTGCGGCTTCCGCAGTAGACGGCAGTCCTATGGAAGCCAGCGGGCTCTCAGCTGGTGCTTCTGGTGTTGTTGCCGCCGGCGCTGCCGCTACTGGTGCTGCAGGTGCTGCAGTTCCAGCTGCTATTGCTAGTTCAGCTGCTGCTGCAGTTGCTGCTTGAGCCGCTGCTGCCTCTGCTGCTGCTGCTGCAGCAGAATCTGTTGCACCTGAAGACAGATCTGGCGCAGCAGCCATGTCTGCAGGCACTTCCGATACGATAGCTGAGTGTTCCGTACCATCTGTGGCCGCTGCAATTGCAGCTAAATCCGCTGTCACTGCTGCTGCTGCTGCTGTTGTTGCTGCTGCCGTTGCTGCTCCTGCCTCGGGTGACACATAGCCAGGGACAGCAGCAGCAGCAGCAGCAGCAGCTGCTGCTGCTGGAAAGATGTGCTGTTGCTGCGCTGTACCCAAAAGCAGCAGCAGCGGCAGCAACACCTCGAGCTGCTTTAGCAGCCTCAAGCGGCGGCGACAAAATATGCTGCGTGCCATTTTTGAGGAGGGGGGCCGCTGGCTGCTGGTGCAGCTTCTTGCTGCCGGTGCTGCTTCCGCTGCAGCTTGCTGCTGCTGCTTCCGCAGTATCTGTGAGGTTTCAGCTCCTGCGGAGCAGCTACACACTGAAGAGACAGCAAGCGCTGCTGCTGCTTCGGCCGCATGAAGTCCCTGCTGCTGCTGCTGCTGCAGCCTACCGGCAGCAAGAGGCGCTGGTGCTGCTGCTGGGCTTGGTGGTGCGACTGTTGGTGGTGCTGCTGCACTTGGAGCCAGAACCCGCGGCTGCAGCAGGCTTGGATGTCTCTGTGGGGTAGGAAGCCAACCTTCCGTTACTGCCTGCAGCCACTGGTGGGCCGGGAGCCGCTGCAGCTGCACTTCTGGTGCTGCTGACGAGTCAGGCAATAATTCCGCTGCGGCCGCTGCTGCAATATGAGGAAGAGAGTAAAAGGGAGGAAGACTGGGGTCTGCGCTGCAGCAGCAGATGCTGCTGCTGCTGCTGCGCTAGCAGCAGGCCGCTGGTCCTGCAATGTTTGGCAGCTGCTGCTGCGCCACTGCAGCAGAGAGACAAGGAGGAGATGAACGAGAGGGAATGTATAGCTCAAGGAAAGGCAATGAATAAACATCAGGAATATCTGTTCCTGTGTGCTGCTGCTGCTGCGCCTGGAGGCCAAGTAACGGCAGCTCATCGATGAGGGAAGGTCTGCTGCTGCGGCTGCTGCTGCTGCTGTTCCTGCTGCTGCGTCTGCTGCTGGTGATGCATTTCGAAGGCATAAAGGAGGCACAGAAGTGCATTTTCCCTTTCATGTTCATCTGCTTCAGCAGCACCAATAACAGCAACGCTGCCGTGTGCTGTTGCAGCTGCCACTGGTGCTGCCACTGCTCGAGCCTGGGCTCCGCATGGGCACTGGGCTGCCATCAGTAGCCAGAGCAGCCCTTGCTGGAGCTGTTGCACTTTTTCCTTAAAAGCAGCAACATTGCTGCGGCATTGACCCTTCGCTCGCGGTTTGCTGCGCCTGCTGCTGCTGCTGCCTTCCGGGGAAGGGAGGAGAGCAGCATCGATTGTCTCCAGATGCAGCAGCAGCTGCAGCGGTAGCGCCAAGAGCCTCACACGGGCAACTTGGCCTTTAGCGCGAGCCTTGGTGATCTTAGCAGTGCCAGCAACAGCAGGATTTTCAGCTGCAACGGCAGCAGCGGCAGCAGCAGCAGTGGCAGTAGCAGCAGCAGCCGATATCAGGCAGTTTCTTCTAGCATCTTCTACACAGTGTACAATAGGCCACGCACCGCATAGCCGAGCACACACGAGCTCGCTGCAACAGCCGCAGTCCTCACTGCAGCATTATGGCTAGAAGCACCAAGAGTTACAGTGGTGGTGGTGGCATAGGCAGCAGCAGCAACAACAGCAGCAGCAGCACCAGCAGCAACCCTAGCGACAGCAACAGGGAAGAATATTTATTCCGAATCCAGAAGCCTTTAATTCCTGCTCAAGCACCATGGACTCGCGAGGTGAAGTAGCACCAGTTGCTGCACTGGCAGCAGCAGCAGCCGCAGCGGCTTCAGCTCCAGCTGCAGCAGCTCCAGTTCCAGCAGAAGCAGCAGCAGTAGATGCTGCTGCAGGCGTCGGTAAAACTATTCAAGGGCTGTCTACCGTTCCCTCAGCTTCTCTCCAGTCTCCGAGCGCCAGCAGCAGCAACAGCACCAGGGCCAGCACCGGTGCCAGCATCAACAGCAGCGGCTGCAGCAGCAGCAGCAGCAGCGGCGTACTCGTGAACAGCAGCAACAGGGAGACCGAGGCTGCAATGCGGCTGATGCTGCAGCCAGCGGAGGTGCTGCTAGACAGGACGACTGCGTTATTTGCTGCTCTTGCAGATCCAGATTTGTACAGGCAGCACTGGGCTGGCGTTGCCCCCGGCGTTTGCTGCCACAGAGGCAGCAGCAGCAGTGGCTGCTGCTGCTGCGATGAAGGGGCGGGCTGCGTTTGCAGCGTATGCAGCAGCAGCCCTGAGCAGCAGCGACGGTACAGCTGCAGCGGCAGCAGCTGCAGCCTTGCTGTGCCCCCACGAGCAGAGGGCCCGCTGGTGGATTTGCTGCCTCTTTTTTTGTGTCGGAGCGATGCAGCAGCAGCAGCTGCTGCTACTGCAGCAGAGCGCTACAGCTTTTTGCCCACTGCTGCTGCTGCTGCTGCTGCTGTGCCTCTTAGGTATGCAGACGATGTCGCCTGCTACTGTCTTCGCCTGGACTTCTTGGGCCGGCCAGCGGCGCCGAAAGCAGCAACAGACACCGCTGGGAGAGAGCACGGGCCCAACCAGGAAGCAAGGCAGCAGCGGCAGCAGCAGCAGCGCTCAGCACCGTGTCACTGCTGCAGCTGCTGCTGCTGTAGCCGCTGCAGTAGACACGCTTCGCCGTTTCTGCCCTTTGAACCGTGCCTTCATGATTGCCCTACGGTAAGGGACGCGCAAGGCTCGCAGCAGCAGCAGCAGCAGCAGGAGCAGAAGCAGCAGCAACAACAGGCAGCTGCTGCCTTTGCTGAGGACGTGCTGGCCCGAGATGTGCCCGCCGTTGCATTTGTGGGCCCTCCTCCGGCGTGGATGTCAGTTCATCTCAGGAGGGAAGATGAGGCCACGCCGGCTGCAGCAGCAACAGAAGCCGCAGCAGCAACAGAAGCAGCAGCACCTGCAGGAGCTGCAGAGGCCGCAGCAAAAGCTGGGACCACCTCCGCACCACTTGGAACGGCAGCGGCGCTTCCTGCAGAAGCTGCACAGGGGGATACGGCAGAAGGAGCGTCAGGTTCTGCTGCAGCAGCACCAGCTTCACCAGCAGCAGCTGCTGCTTCTGCTGCTGCCCCGAACTCTGGAACTTTTGAGCCCGTGGCATTTCCCACCCGTCTTTACGGCTACCACATTGGCCGTCGTTTTGCTGCTGCGGCGCGTGACTCGGCGCTGCTGCTGAAACAGAAGCGGCAGAATCGCACAGCAGCACCAGCAACAGCAGCAGCAGCAAGAACAGACGCATCAGCAACTAAATTGGCAGCGGCAGCAGAAGAACGACCCCAGAACACGTCTGCGTCTATGAATGTTGATTCAGCAAGCGTGGAACCTGCCGCCCAAAGGGAGGACGCACCAGCCGGCAGCAGCAGCGGCGGCAGCAGCAGCAGCAGCAGGTTACGGTGTACGTGCAGCTGCTGCACGGCAGCAGATTCGTTGCTCAAGCTGCTGGAGTCAGACCCTCCAACGTTTGTTGCAGTAGAGAACAGCAGCAGCAGGAGCCGCACCTGCTACGTGTACCAGGGCGCCACTGGAGCAGGCAGCAGCGGCTGCAGCAGCACCAGCAGCACGAGTAGCACCAGGGGTTTGGGTATTGGCAGCAGCAAAGCCTCACGGGCGTCCGTCAGCCACAGGGAGGGCGTGTGGCTGCTGCGCTCTGCAGCAGGAGGAAAGCCATTTGCTGCGCAGGCCGTGCTGCATCTCCGTGTGTCTGCGTTGCTGCTGCTGCATGCATCACGCCGGCGGAAGCTGCTGCAGGAATTCTCCAACAGCAACAGCTGCAGCATGAACGGCGAGAGCAGGGGAGGCGCAGAAGCGAGGGAGTCTTGCTGTTGCTGCTGCTGTAAGGACGTTGGTGACGCGCAGTTATCGCACCAAAGCAGCAGCAGCAACGGCAGCAGCGGCGAAGCATTACAACGGCAGCTGCTGCTGCATGCAGACGCGCAGCTGGACATTTCACTTGTGAAGCTTTTGCTGCTTGATGTGCACCGCGCCTTCCCAGCGGAGCCGACTTCCCGCGTGCTGCGGCGTTTGCGGCGAATGACTCTCACTTGGTTTCGCTGCAAGAAAATGGCGCTGCTTGTGCAGCAAGAGCAGCAGCAGCAGCAGATATACCACGCAGACGCGGGAGCTCTGCTGGGGCTGCCTTCGCAGCCGAACGCCTCCCCCTCCGCAGCCCCAGCATCAGCATCAGCAGCAACAGCAGCAACAGCAGCAACGGCGAAACCACTCCAGGCTAAGGACAAGTTTTGTCTTCCTAACCTGCCGCAGCAGACCCTTCGTATCTTGCTGGCCGACGCTGCGGTGGAAGGTGAGGCAATACCAGCGGCAGCTAGCCGACCTAGGTGAAGCGCAGCAGCAGCACGCTGCCGTAGGGACGAGCCCTGTCTTCAGCCTGCAGCAGCGAAGCTGAAGAGGGCATGCAAACAGCACCTTGAAAGCTGCAGCGCAGAGAAGCTTTGTGTAGGGTGTAGGTACAGCTGCGCGCGGTTCGTTAGGTGTACGTACACTTTGCAGTGTGGGGTGTGGGGTGTGGGGCGTCTGTGCAGCTTCTTACGCAGCGGAGTTGTGCGAAGTGGCCGAGGGCCTTATAAGCCGGTTGGGCGATTTCGCTCGGCCTTCGACCTGCAGAACGGGATGTTTCAGGCCTGCAGCAGCAGCAGCTGCTGAATCCGGCAGCAACAGCAACAGCAGCAGCAGGGCGGGAAAGCAGCAACTGGCCATCGGGCTACGGTGGCGGGGAGACTTCTTCTGCTTTGAGCTCTTTGCTGCAGTTCTACAGCAGCGCGCAGAAGACGCGGGGGATAAAGATGGAACGAACAGTTTGTGGCGCCTGCTGCTGCATGAAGTGCTGCAGCCTTGCGTCTTAGATGCGGTGTCTGTACACCTGGCATTTTGCTTAGCTCTGCGGCGGCTGTCACCGTGGCTGCAGCTGCAGCAGCAGCCCCTGCAGCTTCTGCGCTGCACCGCAGAGGGACATCAGGTGCTGGCAACAGCAGCCATGCTTTCCAGCGACTTTGCACAGAGACTGCACCACTTGGAGAACCAGCGGCAGCAGCAGCCAGAGCAGCAGCAACAGCCTCCGCAGCAGCAACAAGAATGCCCAGTAAAAGTGGAAGAGGCTACTCATCCTCTACTGCGCCACCAAAGCAGTGAAAGCTTCCAGCAATTTGCAGAAGACCTTGACTCTGGCCTGGTCGAAGGCAACACGTCCGCTGCTGCTGCTGCTGCTGCTGCTGCGGATGAGCCTGTAGGAGCCCTTAATTTAGACGAAGCTGTGCAGCGGCTGGCACTTCTGAACAAGCCTCTCGCAGACGTGCCGATTGAGGAGCCAGCAGCTGTGGAGGAGGAGGAGGAGCAGCAGCAGCAGCTGCAGATGAAGCAGGAGCAGCAGGCGCCAAAGGCAGCAGCAGCTCTTAAAGATGCAGGCGCGCCCGAAACTGTGGCAGACGAGACATGCGAGCACACCAAGGAGCAGCAGCAGCAGCAGCAACGGAAAAACACCGCAGCATCAGGCGGAGCTCTAGCTGCCTATTTCGACAGTGTGCGGCAGCTGGAGGAGGCTAGGCATGGTTGCGGCGACCGCATGTGCTACGGCAGCAAATCTGAGTGCATCGACACTGCTGTTGCGCTGCAGCTGCTAGACGCTGCGCAGCAGCAGCAGCACACAGAGGGGGAGCTCCTCAGCAGTGCTTGCTGCAGCTTAAAGGTGCAATCAGAAACCTGTGTATCGGGGAACTTCCTGCAGAGCAGCGAACCAGCAGCTCGTGCTGTCTTTCAAGCCGTCTTGGTATCACTGAATCAGCAGGAGCAGGAGCAGCAGCAGCAGCAGCAGATGCCGAAGCAGCTGCAACAGCACCAAGTGCCTGGATTCAGTTGCGAATATGTCGGCGTAACAGATGTGGCTGCTGGTGACACCCTTACCTTCTCCCTGCTGCTCACGCTGCTGCTGCCGACGCAGCGCCTGCTGCTGCCCCGAGTGCAGCAGCTAGCCCTACGGGATATCAGCCGCACTATGGGCACGGGAGCTGCAGCACCAGCTTTAGCAGTTACGGCAAGTAGCGCAGCAGCAGCGAACCACGCTGCAGCAGCACGGCAGTGCACCCAGGCGACTTCTGGGACGCTGCAGCCTGAGGGTTTCAGCGGGAATAGCACAGCTTGCAGCAGCCACCGTAGCAGCAAAGGCTGCTGCTGCAGCGGGACCTGCTGCTGCTGTTACGGTAACGACAGCGGCAGCTGTGTAGAGGAGGCTTCTGCGGAGCCCGAAGAGCTTTCCACTGTCGTTCTTTCTGGTCCAGCAGGCCAGGATGCCCCAGCGGAGGCGTTGCAGCCGTGCGACGTGTTGGGCCCGCTGCTGCTGTCGCAGCAGCAGCACCTGCAGCAGCAGCAGCAGCAGCAGCGGCATCAACAGCACCGGTACTCTTTGGGCGCGCACTGTCAGCGGCGGCGTAAGCCTCCGAGTGACTTCAGCGGAAGAAGGCAGCAGTGGCGTGGAAAGTGATGGAGAGGGGAGGCCTGCGTCGCCTCTGCAGCAGCTGCAGCAGCAGCCGCTGCTGGCGTCACCAGGCGCCCTGCAGCTCCCGGGCAGCGCGCAAGGCCATGATCCCGTCAGCAGCAGCAGCAGTAGCAGCAGCAGCAGCAGCAGCGCACTTGCAGATACTGAGGGGGACCTCGAGGGCTTTCTTCTGGCAGCGCTGACGCAGCTGACCGGCTTTGTCCACAGAGGGTCTGAGCTCGACGTAGGCATTCCTATTGCTGCAGAGTTGATAGAAGAGGCGGGAGAGGAAATACATGCAATATGCAGAGGTAAGCAGCGCGACCTGAAGCTCAGCCAGATAGCTAGCTGGCAGGCTAGCTGGCTAGCTAGCTAGCCGGCTGTGTCTTTCTCCGCGGTAACCACCGCAGTGCAACTGCACACTTCTTCACTACTTGCACTGCCTTTTGGAGAGCCTCTGAGTTTGAAGCTGCCAGTGCTGTTTAGTTCCCGATGCAGATGGCAAGCTTTCTGGCTAGCTAGCCAACTAGCTAGCTGCATCGCTAGTTCCGTGAACAACCTATGCCTGCTGGAAACGTGGTGCTGATGGTTGCTGTGCTGCTTTCAGTGCCAGCGAACGACAAGGCCTTATCTCCCTTCCGATCGTTGCCAGCAGCAACGACCAGCAGCAGCCAGCAGCAGCAAACTGCGCCACAAGAGTGGGCCGCTGCGGCTGACGGGGCGGAGGCGGGCGGCGGTACTCGCTTAGCGTGTACCTGGGCCTCGAGCACTTCCGCGCAGCACTTCCAGCAGCAGCTGCAGCAGCAGCAGTCTCAGTCCGAGTTGCGGCTACTGCCCGCGCTCTTTGCTGGCCTGTACCATACGGGAGCCACAGCAAAGCGTCGTTTGTTTCCTCGGCACCGTGTCGTAACAGCAGCAGCAGCCGCAGCTGCTGCTGCAGCAGCCGCCACTTCTTCTGCCGCTGCTGGCGCCGCCTCGAAATCGAGGGGCCGCAGACAGCAGGCCTCCTCTCCAAGTCACCGACAGCAGCAGCAGGCTGGCGCTCAGCGCCAGTCAGCCTCTTCGCCTGCAGCAAAGGAAGACGGATCCTTTCTGCGACCTACTGCAGCAGGCAGCAGCAGCGGCGCTGGACTTAAGCCTTCTTCTGGCCGCAGCAGCAACCGCAGCGGCAGCAACACCCCCACCGGTGTCTACTTTGATGCAGCGCGGCAGCTGTGGCGGTGCCAGTGGAGGTCTGAAGGGCGGCTGCGCAGCAAGGGGTTTGCTGTTGCGCGTTACGGCAGCTCAGACGAGGCCAGAGAGGCGTGCATTGCTTACCGAGAGCTTGTTGTGCATGCAGGTGCTGCAGCAGCAGAAGCAGCAGCAGAAGCAGCGGCTGCAGCGGCGGCAGGAGCCCTCGCAGGCGCAGCAGCAACAGCCGCTGAAGCTGAGCCAAAGGCAGGTGCACAACGTGCCACAGACAAATCTCCCACAACAGCGGCATCGCCTGCTCAAGCAGCAACAACGGGAAGAGCAGCAGCAGCAGCAGCAGCGGTGGATGAGATAAAGCAACAGCTGTCGCCTACGTGGAAAGCAGCGAGCAGCAACAGCAACGTCTGCAGCGCTGCTGAGGCTCTCGCGGCCCCGCCGCTGCTTCATCATGGCGGCTTGCTCAAACATAGCGTGGCAGCGCTGCCGGCACCCGTTGCAGCAGCAAGTACAGCAGCAGCACAGGCAGCTCTGGCTGCAACTTTGCAAAGAGCAACAGCAGCGCCAGACGCACTAGCAGGGAGCTCACTGCGCGAGACGGGCAGCAGCGAGAGCAGCAGCAGCGGGCCCTCCGTGAATCCACAAGCTGCTCCGGCTGCTCCTGCTCTGGTCAGTTCAGCAACAGCAACAGCAGCAGCAGCAGCACTTCAAGGCGAACGACTGATAGAGTTCGCTGGGGACATTTTAGCTTTGCTAAATCGAGCGAAAGAAGTGGCGGCTGTGGAGAAGCAGCTTCAAGAGCAGCGCCTGCAGATGCAGCAGCAGCACCAGCAGCGGCAGCAACAGCAACAGGAGGAGTCGTCGGCTACGCCTGCCGCTACGTCAGCAGAGAGAGATAGGCAGCAGCTTCGTCACATGCTCGTGTCACAGCTAGAGCACGCGCTGCAGCAGCAGCAGCAACGTATGCAACAGCTGCAGGTGTTAGGGGACATCGACCTGAGGCAGCAGCGAATGTCGGGGCAGGAGGGGGTGTTGCAGCAGCAGCAACAGCAGCAGCAAATGCTTCTCCACAGGGTTGCGGCACTGAGCAGACAGGCTGTGCAGCAGCTGCAGGAAGTGCTGCAGACTCTGCTGCAGTTGCCGCTGCAGCAGCAGCAGCTACCGCCGCAACAGGCGCTGCAACAGGAACAACCACCGCAGCCGGTGCAGCAACACTTTTCTCCCTGGGAGGGCGCCTCGGCAGCAGCAGCAAGTCCAGCAGCCAGTGGGGTGCAGCAGCGAGAGCGCGCAGCTTTTGCCTCAGCAGCTGCACCTCTTGAAGGTCAGCACAGACCGAAGAGGGAGGAGGCAGGCAACGCACAAGCAGCATCGGCAGCACCAGCAGCAGCAGCACCAACGACAGCAGCAGCAGCAGCACACGACGAAGCAGTTCCAGCGAAAAGGCTTCGCGTTGCCCTGGACGGCTTTGCAGGCGCCTGAGGCAGGCGCTGCTGCTGCTGCAGGTGCGGTCGGTGCAAGGGTAAAGGTAAAACCGTGCTCTTTCTGAGCATCCGCAGCAGCAGCAAAACAACAAATGCAGTAACAGCAGCAGTAGCAGTAGCTGCTGAGCAGCTGTTGCTGTACCGGCAGCAGCAGCTGCTATTGCATCTGTCGCTGCTACGTCAGCTGCAGCGCACAGTGGCAGGACGTTCTCTACAAACCCTGTTGGCTGTCCAGCCGGTTCCCAAGGGGATTATACAGCAGCAGCAGCAGCAGCGACAGACGCAGCAGCAGGTCCAGCGAAAGCAACTGGCCTTTTTTGTTGGTAATTTCCGGGTTTGCTTGCTTCGTGGGATCTGGGGCTTTCCTGTTTGTGCCAAGCGGTGGCCCGCCTGCAGGCCTTCATGCACAAGTGCATGCACGTGGGCCTCGCAGGCCTGCATGCATGCACTTGTACATGCAGCGGGGCCTCCGTGCATGCACGTTTGCATGCGTTGTTGGGGCCCTGCTGGGGCCCTGGAGCCTCAGGGCAGCCAGTTAGGGAGCCAAACTGCCGCAGCGCCTTAAAACAGTGTTTCGGCTAGCGGGGGATAAAGTGCAGGACTTAGCCTAAAACAATGGAGCCCGAGTCCTTAGACTTCTTAAGTTCAGCAAGTGGGCTTTGAGTTCACAGGGTTGCTGCAGCAGCAGCAGCTGCTCTGTAGCTCAGTCCATAGGCTTCTTAAGTGCAGCAAACGGCCTCCGGAGGGCGCAGGGCTTGTGCAGCAGCAGCGGCTGCTCCGTAGCTGAGTCCGTAGGCTTCTTGAGTGCAGCAAACGCGCTTTTGAGTGCACACGGTTGCAGTAACAGTTGTTGCTGCTCTGTAACTGAGTCCTTGGGCTTCTTGAGTGCAGCAAACGCGCTTTTGAGTGCGCACGGCTGCTGCTGCTGCACCTGCTGCTTTAGAGACCCCAGCCGCAACAGCAACGGCAGCAGCAATACTAACAGCTGCTTTGCCAGCCGCAGCAGCAGTATGCTTATGCAGCAACTGCTTCTGCTATGGTGGCAGGAAGCAAGCACACGATGCATATGCTAGCTTAGCTGCTAGGGGCAGCTCTCTAGAGAAGTGCAAACGCCGAACTGCACGAAAATGGAGCAGCAGCGGCTGCTGTAGCAGCATCCACTGCTGTTGCTCGAGCAGCAGGTTGAACTGCTGCTGCAGCAGTTGCTGCAGCTGCTGTTCCCCTCCGTGTCGAGAACGCCTTAGAGCGCGAGAGGCGGGCTTTAATGTCGAGTACTCTGTGCCTGGCCGCAAGACTAAAGCAGCAAGAAGCTGCAGCAGGAACACTAAAGGGCTTTTGCTGCCTTTTCTGCAACTCTCCATTCTGCTGCTGACTTAGCAGCTTCTGGCGCTGCTGCGCTTCCCCCAGGGGCTTCAGGGACCTGCTCCGCCCCTGGCCGCCTTGCTGCAGCTCCCCGCTGTGAGCTGAGCTGTGTGCTGTGCGCAGCAGCTGCTGCGCTGCTGCTGCAGCTGCCTGAGCTGCTGCGCAGCTGCTGCTCTGCTGCTCCAGGTGCCTGACGGGAGCTCTAGAGGGCTCTTGCAGCCACTGCGTAGGCGTAGAGGAAGGGGGGAGTGCTGCGGGTTACAGCGAAGCGACTCAACACCCAAACCCTAAACCCTAAACCCTAAATCCTAGGCCTCTGGCTTAGCCCTTAGGCTTCAAACCACTGCTTGAGCCAGCTAAGCCTCCTTAGTGCATATACACGGCACGGAGCGCTGTCTAGACACCCCGATGCTGCTGTTTCCCATTTTCTAGGCCCTCAGGCAGCTCACTCTAATGAGCAGCAGCAAAGCAGCAGCAGCAGCAAAGTCGCAGCACGCGTTGCTGCTGCGCCCGGGGACACTGAGACATCCACACAGCACTTCAGCAGCCAAGTCCTAAACTCTAGATCCTAGCCCTAAAGTCCCAAGAGCCCTGGCACCAAAGGCCCACTTGCAAAAGACCACCCAACTACTCTTCAGGAACAGCTGCTACCTCAGTTTCAACCCCACAAGCAGCAACACGAAACAATTGCAGCGCGGCGTAGATGTAGCTACTGGATATCCCTCCCTTCGGATGAACGTACACCTCACAGCCCCAGTGGCCTGCTGCCCAACACTCCCAAGACACTGCAACAAATCACTAACTGTACTCAGAGCTGTTCCCTACAGCCACGCTTACACTCTGCTGCAGCGCAGCCGAGCCGCTTCACCCTCTCTACGCAGTGGCTAGTGCATCATCTGCTGAGCCACTGAGGCGCCTCAGCAACAAAGAAGCAGCAGTAGAAGCAGCAGCTGCTGCTGCTGCTGATGCGGCGGCGGTGTGCAGGATTGCGCACCTGACCAGCGGGCGCAGTCGGCGGCGTATTCGCCAGTTCTTTGGATCCCCCCACAAAAGTCAGCCTTCTTTCTGTTATTAAGTGCTTTAGGACCACCAAATGGGCCTAAAACAGGCAAGTGCAGAAAGCAGCAGCAGCAGCTGCTACGGATGCTGTGGCGGCTGCAGCAGCAGCGGCCGCAGGCCGTGCATGCGGCGGTCAGGCCTGACAAGAGCCGCTACAGCAGCTGCTGCACGTACTCCCAATTTAGTAAGTTGGTTTATCTGTTTTTAGAGGGAGGACGCAGAGAGAAGCACTCTCTTGAGCCTGCAGCAGCAGCAGCAGCGGGCCAACCCGCGTTAGGTGCTTCGCGCAGCAGCTCATCAGCCAAAGGGCCCCTTAATCGACTTTGTGCGGTGTAGAGACACTTCGGACCCGCGCAGCCGCGCAGACGGTGCCCATCTGCTGCTGACGAGTTGCCGCCAGCAGGACTGACAAGGGCGCTTCCTGGAGGCGGGCCCAGCAGCAACGGCAGCAGCAGCGGGAGAAACTGCAGCAGCAGCAAGGAACAGAGGAGAAACAGTGGCAACCGCAGGCTTTTGCTGCTGCTGCAGCAGCAACGGCTGGTGCAGCACTTGCTGATGGGACAGCCTCAGCCCTAGCGGAGCAGCAACAACTGCTACGGCTCCCCAGGAGCAGCAGCAACAGCGGCGACGGCAGCGGAAGCGGACCTTGAACAATCTTACGTGAAAAAGCATCAAGGCTGCAGCAGCCGCTGCGCGCAAATCAGAAGCAGCAGCAGCTGGAAGGCAGAGCAGCAACGTTGCTGCAACTAATGGGATGCGACATTCCCCGCGCAGCCTTGCTGCTGCTGCTGCTGGGAGCAGCAGCAGCAGCAGCAACAAGTCCCCTCCAGTAGCAACTGGAGGGGCATCTTCAGATGGGGTTCAAAACCTTGGCGGCAGCCCTGTAGCAGCAGCGTCAGCAGGTGGAGCGACACCAGCGGGCCCAGCAGCAGCAGCAGCAGCAGCAGCA